GGGGTGCCCCCCCCCCCCCCGTCCCCTGTAACCAGTGTTCCCGCTAACCTTTCCCTCCCTGTGCAGAATACATTTGTTTCGTGCGCCGAGGCACGTGCAGATGTGCAGCCCTAGTACAAACACATGCGACTGGCTGTGGGGCGCTGCTAATCAGTTGGGCGGCATTTGACTTTCTCCTGGGCGGCAGCCCGCGTGCACAGTTTACAGGGAGCACTGCCTGTAACTCTGATCTGGCCTGCTTGGTGCTTGTGTGTGACCCTAACAGCTCTACATTTGTTTCGTGCGCCGAGGCACGTGCAGATGTGCAGCCCTAGTACAAACACATGCGACTGGCTGTGGGGCGCTGCTAATCAGTTGGGCGGCATTTGACTTTCTCCTGGGCGGCAGCCCGCGTGCACAGTTTACAGGGAGCACTGCCTGTAACTCTGATCTGGCCTGCTTGGTGCTTGTGTGTGACCCTAACAGCTCCTTGGGTGCAACTGGCAAAGGGCTCTCGGTTCTGTAATGATGATGCTTGTCCCCACTGACAGACTCATTACACCTAACATTTCACCATCACTGTATTTATCATAGAATCATAGAATAATAGGACTGGAAGGGACCTCGAGAGGTCATCGAGTCCAGCCCCCCGCCCTCAAGGCAGGACCAAGCTCCACCTACACCATCCCTGACAGATGTCTATTTAACCTGTTCTTAAATATCTCCAGAGAGGGAGATTCCACCACCTCCCTTGGCAATTTATTCCAATATTTGACCACCCTGACAGTTAGGAATTTTTTCCTAATGTCCAATCTAAACCTCCCCTGCTGCACTTTAAGCCCATTACTCCTTGTCCTGTCCTCAGAAACCAAGAGGAACAAATTTTCTCCTTCCTCCTTGTGACACCCTTTTAGATATTTGAAAACCGCTATCATGTCCCCCCTTATCTACAAAGAATGTTGCATGAGATATTAAATCAAAGCCAGGATCATGTTGGTCCTTAATACCATTATGAATTGTATGGAATACATTTTAAAAATTGTCTGTCTACTGAAAATATATCTTATGGTTGATGTCAAGGTACAAGTCCCCAGAGGAGATGGAAAAACTGGTTTTGCCGGTCAAATTGATGTATTTGCCTTTAAGTCATACAATATATAGATTAAGCGTAGTAAAACAAACACAGTGTCAGCTACATTTTTCAAGTTAATTTGAGGATATGAAGACGATTTGGGGCCAGCACACGGGAGAACAAATATTGGGTAGGTGACGATAGGCAATTCTGAGTTTGGAGTTGAAACAATGAGATTTGGGAGACAAAAGAGAAGTGAAGCCATTTCGGTGATTATTCACAGAGGAAACCCCTTGAGGAGGCGAATGGAGCTATTCATGAAAACTTGGATCCTGGTTTTGCCAGATAACCAGCAACTTTATCAAGGACTCAGTTCTTGGGAGCAGACCTACTTTATTAAAGAGGAAAGGATTATGTTTGATTGTTTTCACTATAAATATACTTTAGTGCTGTAATGTTATATAGTACCTTATCCTGTGTTGTACCAGTCAAGATGTGTATACACTGTCTCTTTGGGCACAGCTTAATCAGTAATAACTGAGGCCTTATCTACACTTACTGGAAGATCGGTACTGCAGTGATCGATCTCCTGGGGCTTGATTTAGTGGGTCTAGTAAACACCTACTAAATCGACTGCTGATCATGCTCCCATCAACTCGAGTGGACCAATGGGAATCAATGGGAGAGTTTCTTCCTCACCCTCTGGTGCCCCCTCCCCTGCCACAATAACTTGAACTAAAGTATGTTGACTCCAGCTGTCGTTCAGGTAGCTGGCATTGCGTACCTTATTTCGACATGGTTCCCTCTTGTAGACCTTGCCTGAGTGTCCAGTGATGGGATGGATACTGCAGGGAGCACTTGGGACACAGGAGGGGGAGATGTTGGTGTGTCCCTAGCACTAGCCTTTACAGAAAGGGTGAGGTCTACGTAGACCTGGAGGCTTGTGCTTGTGGGCCCAGAGGCAGTTAGTTTCAGGAAGCTGTGTCACAGGAGCCATAGATAAGGCTGATTTACACTAAGGACAGATAGTAGTGGTGTGTTGCCTTACACAGCCTTGGGTAATCCTGAAGCATGTCACAGTGTGCTGCTTCCACTCCCAGTGCATGGAGGTGGGCAGAGGGGCTCTTGGTGCCTGTTTCTTATGCCTCATTTCCCAATGCTCTGAGTTGTGCAAGAGATTTCAGTGCCTACTGTTTGTGTTCCTTGAAGGCTCTCCTGTTCATCTGTGAGTCCATTTTTCAAGAACTCTTCCTAAATGATAAGAGCTAGGGCCACCAAATTTGGCATGCGGCTTTCTCGTATAAATTAAAGCAAGGTCAGGGTTTGGTTGTGCCAGGATAATGGGATGTGCGTGGAATACGATTGTTTTCATCATATGAAAAGGTAGAGATGTAAGAACAGAGACGGTTTTATTCACAAATAACTACAGGGGGGCAGCAAGCACCCCAGTTCTGGGGAGCTGCTGCTGGCTGGCAGTACAGCCCCTGCCATTCTGGCCAGTCCCCAGGAGTAGCTGCTGGCCATGGTGCAGCCTTCCTTCCCCCGGTCCCCTGGGCCAGCCCCAGGAGAAGCAGGCAGGCAGCCTGTGCCGGACTCCTCTCCCCGCTCCATTCTTAGGCAGCATGATCCAGACAATGCGGGGTAAGTATTCTAGTGTGTTTATATAGGTTTTGTTTTATAGCAATTACAATATCGGTTGCCTATCTAGTCTGAACATCTTCTCCAACAGCCATCAGTACCTGATGCTCAGAGAATGTTACAAGATAACATACAGTTAACAGATGATAATAAGGGGTTTTCTTAATCCTTGCAATTCGTGGCTGGTTTGATCTGTGAAGCAACTTTTGGTTCTGTTGTGTTAGATGTAATGCATGCATGTGGTAAAAACTATTGCCTGCCCTGAAGATCTTACAATCTAAGTTGACAAAATAAAGATTGGAATGGAAACAGAGATACACAAGATGAAAGCACAACAGGAAGCACAACAGATTAGTGGCAGAGCTAAGTTTTCTGTATACCATAGCAGTGCGTTATCCACGGAGTTCACAACTGCTACCTATTTTTAATCTTTGTAATGTATTGGGTTTTCTAATTAAACAGATTATGAGAACTTGCTAATTCTTATACAGTTATTTTGTTTATAGAGAAACTTTAACTTTTTGTTCTTTCCCTCTCCAGAGAAGCCATTTTAGTCGAATCCATCATGGCCTACAGGGCATTTCTGCAGTTTCGTGGAGGAACTATGCTGATATAGGTAAATTGATTACTGCAAAATAGCTTTCAGGAGGCAAAGTTGTATTTCAAATTAAGCCTTCAACCTTACAAATGATTCTGCAGCCATAGGAGCCCATCTACATTGAGACAATTGTAGTATCAGGGTTGATGATATGAAGTAACGTTTACCATGTAGGTATCAAATTATGGTGAGCAGTGCATTGGATTAACTGTACTAATCATTTGTACTACATTATTGTTAGAGGTTAAAATAATAAAGTATGCCATTTTTCTTGTATTGCACGAATAACGTGGAGTGGATTGCTTTTGTGCTTTTTCTTTGGTTCAGAGCTAAATATGTAGACTCTGATTTTAATCCCCATTTCTCCTGATTGTTGAGCATGAGATGTATAAACTAACCATCACACAGATCATTAATGAGGTAGTTAAACAAAACCATCACCAGTCCCAACCTCTGGGGTTTCCTGCTTGATACCAGCTGCCAACTAGACATTGAGCCATTGATCACTAATAGTTAACCCTGATGATCCAGTCATCTTTCTGTCCACCTAAAAGTGCATTCATCCAGGCCATACTTCTTTAACTTGCCAGCAAGAATACTATGAGAGATTGTATCAGAAGTTTTGCGAAAGTCAAGGTACATCACATCCACCACTTTCCTCATATCCACAGAGCTAGTTGTCTCATCCTAGAAGGCAATCAGGTTGGTCAGGCATGACTTGTCCTTGGAGAATCTATGTTGACTGTTCCTGATCACCTTTCCTCTGAGTGTGTCAAATGGATTCCTTGGGGGGCCTGCTTCATGATTTTTCTGGGGACTGAGGTGAGGCTGATCAGTCTGTAGTTCCCTGGATCTTCCTCCTTAGCCTTCTTATTTTTTAAATATCTGTAATAATGCCATATGACACATTCAGGATCTTTTTTGTAACCATTTTTTCAAAGTCAGTTAAACATAACTACATATACATAACAAAGATAACTTCAGATAACTTTTGCCAAATTCTGCAAAGATTTATAGCATGTGCAATTCCAGAGGCGAACCGAGGAGTACTGGTCAGACCAAAATTCATCCCTTTACTTCAGTTTATAGTGCTTTTGCTCTCATCTGAAACAGCCATTTTTTTATTTACAGAACAAATAATGCTCAGGAACCATTCCATTTTTTTTTTCATTCAGGAAGTTCCTTTCAATAGTTAATATTTATGTTTCTAAGTTCACTGAACAGCACCATCATTTTTAAAAACTAGCTATATAGTCTCTTTCAGTCTGTTAGCTAGTGTGTGGAAATATCCCAGAATGTTGCAGGCTTGGTACTCCTAGGTTATGTCTACACTGCAGGCTTTTTGCGCAAGAACAGCCGTTATAGCGCAAAAACTTGCAGAGTGTCTACACTGCACGCGCATTTTTGCGCAAGTATAGTAATTCCTTGTTTAACACTATAGATATGTTTCAGAAAATGATCGTGATAAGTGAAAACATGTTATGCAGGGTCAATTTTTCCATTGAAAATAATGGAAAAGGTGGGGGTTGTATTTCAAGCGGTGGTGTCTGTTGGGACCGGGACGTAAGGTTGAGGGAGAAAGGGGACTGGGTTACAGCAGGGAGGGGAGGTTTTTGGTTTTGGGTAAGGCAAGAGGAGGAGAAGGGGGGGGATTGGGTTGGGAGTATGCCCCTGTAATGGGTCTGCTGGGACCCTCACTGCGTCCGGTGAGCGGGGTTTGGCGGGGAACAGCGCAGTGAGCGGTGAACCCTCTGCCACTTTGCAGGTAGGCGGGGGAAGTCCTGCACAGCCGCCAGCAACGGGCCGGTTGGGGAAACCCAGCCGCCGGCCTGCAAGTGGGGGTAGAGGAGAGGGGGCAAGGCGTCTGGTGAGGGGGAGTCAGCAGGGAACGGCGCAGAGAGTGGCGAACCCGCCACCGTTTTGGAGGGAGGTGGGGGAAGCCCCGTGCAGCCGCCACCGATGGGCTGGCTGGGGAAATCGTGTTCTTCCAGGGATGGTTGTGTTATTAAAAAAACGTTCCCAAAAAAAAAATCGTGCTATCATGAAAACATGTTAAGTGGGCACGTGTTAAATGAGGAATTACTGTAAATTTACAGTACAGCGTTGGAAAACAGGGCTTCTTCCAGAAGAGTTATTCCTCTCTCCACGAGGAATAAGCCCTCTTATGCAAGAGCTCATCCACAAGAAGGCAGTGTAGACAGGCAACATGAATTTCTTGAGCAAGAAATCCCAATGTCTAAAAAGGCCATCAGAGCTTTCTTGCACAAGAGAGTGTCCACACTGCCATGGACGCTCTTGCACAAAAGCACATGGCAGTGTGGACGTGCTCTTGTGGAAGATCTTTTGCACAAGAACTCTTGCGCAAAACATTTCTTGCGCAAGAAGCCTACAGTGTAGACGTAGCCCTATAGTAAAACTAATATAAAGCTAAATTACAGCATGACAAGTAAATTGAAAACATTTTAATGTTTTGTATTGTTTTTCTTAGCTGATGCTGACGTCGCAGTTATTGGTTCTGGGCCTGGAGGATATGTTGCTGCTATTAAAGCCGCTCAACTTGGCTTTAAGGTAAGAAGGAACTTGTGCTGGATAAAGCACTAATCCAGATAAACTCAGTAGGGATTCTTGCAACACTGGAAAACTGAGGTTCTTTATCACTGGGCAGCCCCAACTGAGAGCACTCTCCCAGTCTTTCCAAATATAAATATAACTCCTCTCCCCGTTTTTTAACAAAAAGTCCCATGCACATAAATCATTAACAAAACAAGCCCCAATACAATCATCAGTGTAGTCCAGTGAGTACATGCAATCTTGGCAGTCCCCATCATACCCCAACTCTCCAGAGCAGTCCAGGCTCAGCCATTCCAACTGGATTGCAGTCCCAGTCTTCCCAACAGAAACACTGCAGCCTCCTTCCTGAGAGCATCCTTTCTAGGGGAATGTCCCTCATTCTTCCTGGCCCTCTTGTGGCTCATGTGAGGCTGCTCTCTAATCCTGAAGATGTCAGTAAGCCAGCCCCACTGCTGCTCACATGCTGGCAGCTAGTGGCTGCAAGCAGGCAGCTCCCTATGCTGCTTCTGCTGCCTTGAGACCTCTCCAGCCCTCCTGATGCTGTCTTGGCAATGCCAGCCAACATAACCCTATTGCCATTATCTGCCTTAATCCTTCCCCTAGCTCCCAAACATAGTGTCCTAGCCAATTCCTCCCTCCTCTCAACGAGTGGCTACAGAGCTTTCCTCTTCCTTCCAGGCTTCTGTCACCAGCTTTACCAGATAGAACCAGTCTGCTCAGACTCACAGTGACTTCCTCTCTCTGTCTCTTCCTGATCTTATTTAGTCCACACATGCTTACTTGTCCTTTTAATTGGTCAGATGTGAGAATCTGCTCTGGCATAGGAGTGCTGGACCTACTTCATTTCCAGGGGCTATTTGTAGCTTTTGACACCACATTGTGAGGACTTGATTTCATTTCAAAATTAATAATAACTAGTTCTTGTATAGTGTCTTTCCATCATTAGAACTCAGTGTTTTATAGGAGTCAGTATCATTTTATCCATTTTATAGAGGAGAAAGGTGAGGCACAGATAGAGGGAATGACTTATCCAAGATGACCCGATAGGCCAATAGCAAAAAGTGTGAATAGAACCCATATTTCCCATGTCCAATCCAGTGCATATCCACTAGACGAGAGGTTTCCAACCCTTTTTATATCATAGACCAGCAAACCCATTCACAAACTGTTGGTGGACCAGTAACATTTTATTTGCATATTTACATATTCATTATGCAAATAATAAATATACAGATATGGGAATAAAATATTACTGGTCTGCCAAGAGCTGCCATGAACAGCCAGCTTCAGATCCCATAGTTGCCATGTGGCTGACAGCTACTGCAGCTGAAGCCAGCTGTTTGTGGCTGAGGTTGGGGTACACCTTGTCCCAGATCCCCCCCCAGTGCCAGCCCTAACCCCGAGAGCCCCCCACCCTTCCACTATCCCCCAGAGTCCCCTGACTGAGCCTCTTGCCCTCTAAGCCTCCCAGTGCCAGTTGCCAACCCAAATGCCTCACTGCCAGCCCCCCACCTTTATAGCTCCCGACCAGACCCCCTAGTGCCAGCTTCCTGTTTCCAGAGATCCATTGCACCCAACCCCACCCTGAACCCCTCCAGTGCCAGCCCCTAGTCCCCAATATTAGCCCCATCCCCAGTGCCAGCCTCCCATCCCCAGAACCCTCAAGCACTATGTCTGTCCCTGGAGCTCCCCAGTGCCTAACCCTCCCCCTTCATCTAGCCCTGTGATGTCTCCCAGCTGCTAACTGAGCACTGCTACCCAGGTCGTGGCTGCTCTAAGGCTGCCATGCTGGGCTCCACGTGGCCCTCCCGTTGTGCAGCGAATTACTCTTCCACATCTGGAAGGAAACCCCACTTGTCACTGGTTGGCTGAGAGGTGGGGCAGGACACAACTCTACCAACATCCATCAGGAGGGGTGGTGCTGGGTGGTGTATCCTAGCCCTGGGCCACAGAGACGCTGCAGCCCGGCACCAGTCTGTGGACCAGTGGGTGGGATCCACTGCACTATACCACGTTGTAGATTAACTTTGTCTTAAGCCAGGGGTGGGCAAAGGGCCTCTGCGGGCAAGCTTCAGTCTGCCAAGCTGGTGGATCTGGCCCGCGGAGGCCCTTCTGCTCCCCTGCCCTCAAGCCAATTAGGGTCTGCGGGGCGGGGAACCCCCAAAGCCTTCTCCGCTCTGCCCCCACCCTGCTCACAGCACGCGGTGCTTCCAAGCGCCGCACGCTGCTCGCAGGGCGGGGACAAAGTGGAGAAAGCTTTATGTGCTTCCCCACCCCCAGGCCTTAATTGGCCTGGGGGCAGGGGAACATGCGAAGGCTCCTCCCACCCAGCCAGGAGCACACAGGGTGGGGGAAGAGAGCGGAGGAGGCTTCGCATGCTCTCCCACCCCCAGGCCAATCAGGTCCTGAGGGTGGGGGAGCTGTGTGAAGCTTTCTTCGCCCTGCCCCGGCCCTGCGAGTAGCCTGCAGCACTTCAAAGTGCAACATGCTCCTCGCCAGTTAGGAGGAGGCTTCTCATGCTCCCTTGCCTGGTCCCTGATTGGCCTGGGGGTGAGGGAGTGTGCCAAGCCTCTTCCAGGGCATGGGTGTCTAGTGGGAAGAGGGGACAAAGGAGCTCCCTCATCCCTAGACCATTTGGGTGGCCCGGGGCTCCTTCAAAAAAATTTGAAGTGGCCCCCAGGCAAAAATTTTTGCCCACCCCTGTCTTAAGCAGATACTTAAGACTGTAGATGTACCATTTTTCATGTTGGTTAATATCTTTTGAACTGTGATTATTAAAATGTCTTTTTTTTTGTTACTGGATATTAAGGCCATCAGATTAGCTTAATTTTTATAGGTTAGACTGAAACCAATGTAAACAATAGTTGCTGAGAGGTGCCCCAGCTATATTTTAAATAAAATGAATTGGATTAGAAAGGGAAGCATATTTATATACGAGAATGTCAAGAGGAAAAATAATTTTCTCCGCAAAACAGTTTGGGTTCTAATCAAAAGCTATCAGCAATTTTTAGGTATCTGCCAAAAAGGACTGGAACGAATAACAAATTTAGTGCCTAACTGCCATTAGATTCTGTGAAACTGGCTGAGATACCTCCAATAAAAATAATACCCAGATCTTGCATAGTGCTCTTCAGATGTAAATGCAGGATTTCCTGGAACTCATCACCACATTTGTTTATTTCGGGAAAAAAAAAATTGGCAGAGAGAATCATTAATGTGTTTAAGGGCAGTGGAAATGTGCCCCTGCAATGAAGCTGAAGTTGCTTAATGCCAGAGTAAGTGGTTAAACACTATTTGTCATGAATAAAGATGACTTATTAAATACATGGACTAAATGTTGGAGATGAGACTATAGATATAGATTATCTTATGCATAATTTATAGGAGCTTGTTCTTTTGGCTGTTCCCTCTGCCTCCTTTGAATGGCTTTTATGAACAAAGCACCTTTCATGAGGGGTTCAAGTGACCTGTGTCATGCTGAATAATGGGGAGGAAATGAGTTTTCTAGAGTAATTTGTGAAAATAGATGAAAATGTATTTTCCTAAAGATGTAGTTGTCATAGTTTAGAACAACTCTCCTACATTTCCCCTCAGTTGTCCATCAAGGACGCTCTCAAGTTTTCAGCTTCCCAGCTGTTGTTGCCTCTGGTTGGAGATCTGGATCTCACTCCCTTATGACCAGGATATGACCAGGTAGAATAATTGCTGTAGGTAGATGTTCCCACATAGCTCTTTTTAAGCAAACCTAGGTAAGGTACAAAGCATTACAAAAAACATTAAGACAATAAAATCTACACACCCACTCGAAAGCTTGCTATTTACTTTAACAGTAAGGTTTAACTTAATTCACTGAGGTTGTTGTCAGTGTATCACGACTATTTCTGCATGATTCTCATTCATGAACATAATTTAATACAAGATTGGTAGAACTCACTTAGTTCATAAGCACTTTTGTTTTTCTTAACTCTTGGAGGGCATTAGCAGTGGAGTGTTATTTTTCAGGCTTCTACTAGCTGTCCTGTCCCATCCCACCCAAATATAAATGCTGCCCTCTGAATGTTCTTACAGGTTCCTTTTGTGACCACAGTCCTTACAGCACAGTATGCGTCATTGGCTATTGCACTAGCTTTTTTGAATCTCAGTGCTTTGGTGGGTATCCTTTAATAGCCTTTTGCTTTCTAGGCAGGTCTGGTATAATTGTGCTAAATGAAATTATCCACGAAAGCTCATGCTCCTACACTTCAGTTAGTCTATAAGGTACCACAGGACTCCTCGTCGCTTGTGCTAAATGAGAATCCCTGTCCTTTAGCAGTTTGGCATTGTCTCTGCTTCAGTGTAAATAATTCTGTTGCCTTGTTCTTTCTTTTGTGTGTTGTTGGCCAATATCCTGGTATAACTGAGGTGTTTTGTTTATTGATGTTTCCTAGCACTTTAACCCACAAATACCTGAATTAAAGTGCTTAGTGCTACATCTTTTATTAAAAGCCTTAAGGCTTACTTGGCTTACCTAGTTCTTGTTCCATTCTTTTAATAGTAAATTTCTTTTTCTGGCTCTCTGCCTACTTCTCTTTTGGTCCAGTGTTTCCTTTGAAACATTGAAACATGATATATCGTGTCATAGGTGTGACATCTAAAGAGGGAGGCTTCAAACCTGATTAGTCTGCATTGTCTGCCTCAGACTCATCTCTGGTGTGCAGGGATACTCAATATGTATGGATATGTCATGCTATGTATTGAAGAAACATGCAGAGTGCCTTCAAGCCTTCCTTGAGGTCATCCAATGGAAGACTCCTCTACATGTGGCGTAAGGAGGAACAGAGTCCTTTGAAGTTAAACCCTTCAAACAAAAACCTGATTCAGCCCAATCATTGCACCCCAAAATGCAGGGCTAGTGCTACCTACATTGGCATAGACCCTGATCCCCATTAAGGCCACTGTGGTGGCTTTAGCGCTGAAGCAGCATGTGCTGTAGTTGAAGCAGAGGGTTCCGAGAAGCATGGTGAGGCCTTCTTACTGCAGCAGGTGAGGCCTTGGCACTTACAGTTGATAGTCCTGAGAATATGGCTCATTGGATGAGAGTCTCCACATGGGATAAAGCCAAGAGGTGCCAATAGCTCCGTAAGGCAGTAGTCAAAACCCTTGGATTGGCCCTCCTGCATTCATGTGATTGAAGGGGGAGGGAAGGAAACAATGGCTTTGGTAATCCATGTATGTTCTGTGATCTGGTCTGATCATTCTTGATCCCTCAGTGCTGCCTTTGCCCCTGTGGTAAGCAAGGGTAAGAATTCTTGGTGTATTTAGAGTATTTTTGTGCTGAGGTTGATGTTTAAAGGCTGATGTTTGTGCTCAGTGTATGCATTCTGACCTTGACACTGGCCATAGCCGTGACTAGTTCTTATCAAAATATTTAGGTAGGACACAGTCTTACCATTGTCTTGTGAATTCCTTCCACTTGCCTAAAGGCTCTGTTGGGATGATGACAGCTGCAGTTTGGATTCAGATGAGCCAGAGAATTCATCTGATACCAAATACAGGCAGTCCCCGGGTTACATGGATCCGACTTACATCGGATCCCTACTTACAAACGAGGTGAGGCAACCCCGCACTAGCTGCTTCCCCCCAGCAGACCAGGGAGACGCGAAGCTAGCGCCCTCCTCCCCAGCAGATGAGGGAGACACAGAGCGGCTTTTCTCAGCAGACACCTCAGCTTGAGAATAAAGGACTGAGGGAAGTGAGGTGTGGGAGAATAAAACTGAGCTCTGGAGAAATGTTTGGCTAGAGTTTCCCCTACAATATGTACCAGTTCCGACTTACAGACAAATTCAACTTAAGAACAAACCTACAGTCCCTATCTTGTACGTAACCCAGGGACTGCCTGTACTGAACCAGGGTGATATAAGTATTAAAAAAATTACTTATTAAGTGGGGATTGAGGAAATATATGAATGCTGGAAATGAACTACTAATATTAACATTAACTACTATTAACTGTAAAATAAATATTAATCATTCAACATTTGTATAGATAATAACTATACAGAGATGGAAGGGAGGTATGGCCTGTGGAGAAGATTTTGGATAAGATTCTGTATAAGATAATCCTGTCTTTCTCCAGTCCTTGCAGAAACTTCAAAACAGCTACTTCTAATTGAAGTTGATCAAGGAATCTACAAGGACTATAGCTTAGAACTGGGGGTCGGCAACCTTTCCAAAGTGGCGTGCCAAGATTTAAGCGTCCTGCTCTGGGCTGTGCCACTCTCCTGGGAGTTGGGGAAGGGGCTCTCTCCACCGTGCACACAGTGGACCACCTGACTCAATGCAGACTTTTCCGTGGACCACCAATTGCTAATAGAAACTCACTGTTAATTACAAAATTATGCCTGAGCCGTTTTGGTAGTACTGCAGCTAGGGAGAATGGTTTAATTTAAATTGTTAAACAGACTAAGCATTTTAACTTTTTCATGTTAATTTATCAAACAATTTAAAATAAAATAAAATTTAATTTATCTCTAATACAAAAGGTTTCAGTGTTTTCTTTCTTTATGGCAGGGGTGGGGAATGTGTTTTGGGTTGGGGGCCACTGACCAATGTTCCTTCTAAGTTTTTTCCATCTATGTGCAGAATAAATTTTATTATGTACACCAAGGCACGGGCAGATTTGTACCACCAATAGTAACACATGCTGCTGCCTGTGATCATCTGTGGGCTCTCTACTAATCAGCTGGGCAGCACCTGAATCTCTCCTGGGAGGCCACACAAGTGCCCAGCTTACAGGGAACACTGCCACTGACCCACAGAAAAATCAGTTGGGGACCAAACAAGTGAGAAGCAAAAAAAACCCAACACAATCTCTTCCAAACCCCTCAGCCCGCCTTGATGTGGTCCCCAATTGAGACACCTCACTCCTCTGGCGTTCCAACCCTACAGGGTGAGGGGAAGGGACAAGGGGGACTGAGGTTCAGAGCTTCCTATAGGCCAGATTTACTTTTCTGGGATTCCTGAGTTAGTGGTTTTTATGGACCATCTTAAGCTCTAGGGTGGGGACAAAAATGAGGGGTTCAGTGTGTGGGACAGGGATGAGGGTGCAGGAGAGGGTGAGGAGGGCAGGGTCTGGAAGGGAGTTTTGTGGCAGCGGAGAGTGTGGGGTACAAGAGGAAGTTTGGGGGAGTAATGCAGAAAAGGTCAGATGGTGAGATTGCAGCTACATAGCGGCACATCAAAACCCTTGTGTGCACATCAAACCCTCCTGCTCCAGCCTCGCTCCCATCAGCCCTATGATTCCCCCAGCCTCACTCCCATAAGCCCTGTGATCTCCCAGCCTCATTCCTCTGCATCTCCGCAGTGCAACCCATGCCCCCTCCGATCCTTTCCCTGCATCCTTCTCCCCCCTCCTTCCTGCCTCCACATCCTTGTGCTCCCAGCACACTCACTGGCAAGGCAGCAGCGCTGGGGCTCGCCCCTCATCTGCAGGCTATGGCTCTAGGGCTGGGGCAGGCAGATCCTGGGGCTGGTTCCAGCGAGGTATTGGGGAAGGGGACCCACATGTGACCAGCCGCCCAGCACTGATCTGCTGAGCAGCCCCAGCCCTGTCCCCTCCTGGAGCAGGAGGCAGAGCCTGTAGCGCAGTGGGGAGAGTGTTAACCCCTTAGCTCCGGGGACCCCAGGGATGTGGAGCCCAGCTCAGGGTCTTGCTGGGCCACCCCAGGCCCTACATCAGGCCACACGTGCATCTCTCCTGCCTTCCCACTCCCCCCAGCAGGAAGCTGGAGCTGGTGCTCAATCTTGAGGTTCGCGGGGCTGAGCTCCCATCGCGCATACACCAGAAAATCTGCTTGCATGCCACTGATAGCTGGCTTAGAAGTATCTTGGTCTGGAAGCCCCATTAAAAAGGGTTATCATTAGGGATGTTTAAAACCAGGTAATCGTGTAACTGCTGAAAAATCTCAGGTTAAATGGTTACATGTACCCATAGCGTGGGGTTGCAGCTGGCTCTTGGAGCACATCTGCTCCCACCTGCAGCTCCGTGATCAGGGAGCTGGCTGCTTCCTCTGCTCTGCTGCTTCTGATATAGACCAGCAGTTACCATACATGCCTTCACATCCTGTTTGGGATTAGCCCATGAATAAATTCACTTCTGAGTACAGCTGCTATAGTCTTGAAGGTATCTGAATAAAAGTTTAGCTTCAGTAAATCCCTGTTCTAGGCCTTCCAGTAGCTCTTCAACATCAGCTTGGTTTAGAAGCAGTTTTGATCTTCACACTCAAAACAGAAAAGACCAATGAGTGGTTATGCTATTATATAAGCTTAAACTTCAAATTTTAGTTTTTATGCTAACTATCTCATTTGCTTTGGCACAAAATGAGCTATTTAAGGAAATGGTTGAAGCACTTCACCCAAATATTCTCCTGTAGACTGATTTAAACTTACAGTTCTGAAAATTAGGGACTCCCTTGTTGAATTCTATGCACTCCACAACTTCTGTTTACAATGGAGGAGGGGCCAATCTTGTTTTCAAGAAAAGTTTTGTTTTCTTTCCAGATATCCCTTTTTTGTTAGCCAGTTTTGCACAGGATGTTGTCCTTGACAGATGTCTTTCTGGAGACTTGTATGTTGTCTAATGTGGGATTTTAAAGAGAGATCTCTTCTATCCATCCTTCTTTCCTCCCTGTTTAAACAGTTGAAGATGGCCTTGTTGTTGATGTTCAGACCAGCTTTATTTTCATTTCTTTTGGGATAGCCCTACAATGCCTTACTCTTGAAGTGAGAATCCCACAGGGTGTTTGTATTTTTATAGAAGAAAACACTGACAAGATTCATTTACCAATCTATTCCAATCACTGTTTGAGATTCTCTTTTTACTTGTCCTTGCTTAATTCCCTTTGGTTTTCTTTATTCTGAGGCATTTTTGATCCTATGTCAATCTAATTCAAGGCAGTCATCTTTCAGAGAACTACAGCTCCTGATCAGTTGAAAGAACTTACTGAAAGGTGCAGGGCGATGTTTGTACTTCTTTATACATATAAATGCTGACATTGCGTTATCCTACTGCTCAAATTATTTGTTTAAAAAGAGTGAGTAAAGAGCTAGGGGAGAACAAATCAGTCTCCAGCTAAACCTACAAACAAGAATGCTGCACAGTAACCTTTAAGGAGTAGAATTATAAAATGAGTCATTTTCCTGTGTCATTGGTGTTCACTGAGATTTTCAAATCTGCTTTTAGGAAATAAGAATGCAGTTTAGCTATAATAGTTTTTTTTTCCCTTCTATTGCAGACTGTTTGTGTGGAGAAAAATGAAACATTGGGTGGAACCTGTTTGAATGTTGGCTGTATTCCTTCCAAGGCAAGTGTGTGTTTCCCTAGTTTGTATAATGTTTTCACTTTGGATTTGAATACAGTGATACAGTGTAAAAAGACCTTGGATAGATTCTCAGATGGTATAAATTGTCATAGTTCCATTGACTAGAATGGAAAAGGAGAAAGAAAACACAAGGCTAAAGAAACGGATTTATTTTACAGTACTAATGAGCTAACAGGATGATGGCATTAACCAGTTAAACCAAATTAAGTCTCTTACACTAGAAACACTAAGATGAACCCACATGATCTATTCTTTAAACCAGTAGCAACTTCGGAAAGGCTTGCAGCATTAAGTTAAAGACAGTAATAATGCAGCTCTTGCATTAGTAAATGGCTGAGCCAATCCTATATCAGATGATCTACTACTGAAATGCTGCAGTTGATGGTGCCCCATGTCTGTTGTAATGCATTTGCAAATATTTTATATAGATTTACATCAAAGTAGCTAGTCTTTTTCCTTCTCTGTTGTAAAAAAAAATATTTTGTGAAGCTATTTCCTGTCATCTGGTAACATACTTTTTCACATTGGTAACTATTTGTTCTCTCATTCTGACTTTTGTCTGCTCAGAAAAGGAAAAAAACAGGCCTCAGCCATCTGAATCATTCTTTCAAAGCCTGCTTGGTTAGAAGGAATGCCTCTGGGGTTTGTTTTATTTTGTTGTTTTGATTAAATTTAAACCCACAGTCCTTAGCACATGGAGTCATTAAATATCCCCTCTTCATTCCTGGTATCAGCTGTGGTGTTTTTTCCCCAAATTTCCAATCAGGGTAATTGTATTTTGCATACTTAAATTACCCTTAAAGTTTCACCTGAACACACTAATCCTGATTTAAGCTATGGTACAGAAATGTTGCTCTGTTCTGTTGAAAGAGCTGTTGTTTCAATGGTGAATGAAGTAATCCCTCTATAGAATTTGACTTCAAATTTGTAAAGCACTTGAGAATCCTTCAGGATGAGAGCAAAACACAATGTAAGATATATTTTATCTATCACAGTGTTTCTCAAACTGTGCTCTGCGGAGCCCCATGGCTCCTCGAGACATCTCCAGGGGCTCTGTGAGGTTGACAAACTGGAAATATCGATAGGTACAACACATACAGTCAGTGGACCGCTGGGGCTCCACATAAGTACAACACATACCATCAGTGGACTGATAAATTTTTATGCATGTAATGTGCTCTGAAGCCCAAAAAGTTTGAGACCAACCGATCTATCACATAGTTATCTCTGTGGTTGCCACCTTGCTTGTCCTCTTTACAGAAGTAGGGTACGATTGTGAAGTGGGATTTAGACCCAGCTTCTAGACCTTCTCCTGAGGCCATTTGTTACTTCCGTGTGTAAAAGGGAGTGCTGGATAGGAAATAGTTCTGAACCCATGCTGTTAGACTGACAGCAACACATAGAACATGTGCAGTATTTTTCATTACAAACTATGCTCACAGCATACAAGTGGATAACATAACAGACATCCTAATAAACTGTTTCAGGTACTAGCTTTTACTAAATCTCTATGGTAACTCATTCACAGAGATCCATTAATATCTAAACAAAAATTTGCACTGCTTTGTGATACTCTGCTTCTGAGCAAGCAGGTACATTGAAAGGCTCAAAGGGCATTTTAAAGTTCAGTAGAAAAAGAATTCTAATAAATATTGGTGCATCTGGTTTTTTTAAAATTTTGTAAGTCATCTGAGCATTCATAATAACAAAAGCTAATAAAGGTAATAGCTTAATTTATAAATGTTCAGGTTGAACCTCTCTAATCCAGTATCCTCGGGACCTGACTGGTGCGGAACCAGAAAATTTGCTGAACCATGGGAGATCAATACTGTCTTGTAGCATTACCAACACTTCCACTGCTTACTGGACTCTTAGAATACATTTAGAGATAAATTGGAGTTAATTAGCAGCACAGAACACTGAGAGTCAGGACTGGTGGCTGTAAACAAACTTTATGGGACCATGGGAAACTTGGCCATACCCATGATAAGTGGACATCCAGCTAACTAAAATCATGCTGGACCATGGATGTTGGCGGACTAGAGAGATTCAACCTGTATTGAAAAAGTTTCCAGGCATCTATTGTAAATCAGGTTTAGCAGTGAATAGTATTGGGAAATGAACTTTAGGATCTTATTAGGAAGCTTTAACTCCTTTGTGTCTTGAATTTATCTTCATAGAAGATTTTTGGGTACATGCCATTAGCATTAAGGTGTAATAGTAAGTTATTAAATCCTCTCCCAAAATCCAATAATAGAAAGTGTTTGTTTTTGTTGTTTATGACATATCTAACAGAATTTTTTCCTTTCTAATTTTGACAATTTACGCAGTGATGATGCAGCTGAGTGTACGTTCTAAGTAGTCATACATTTATTTAAAAAAACAAGTTTTGCACATAGATGCTCCTGGTTTACAAAAACAAACCTGATTATCTCAGCCTGACAAACTATACTTTTACTCAGACTATAATACACTATATTATGATCACAAATATAAATTATGTATTTTTTAGGTTCATTTGCAGCCTCTTCTAGCCCCAGTTTTTTAGACTTTGGCATTCTTCACAATTTTGCTCCTCTGCCCTGTTTCAGGTACACTGAAGTACAGACACATCATCCTCATGCATCTTCTCTGGCTCTCCACTTCTGAGTACAGTTCAGAATTATCCTTGTAACAGTAGAACTTCAGAGTTATGAACTGACCAAGTTAAGTGCACACCTCTTTTGGAACCAGAATATGCCGTCAGGCAGCAGCAGAGACAAAAAAGCAAATATAGTACAGGACCGTGTTTAAATGTAAACTACCAAAAAACACACATTTTTCTCCTGAATATTAAAGTTTCAAAGCTTTCAAAGTTTTCAGAGTCAATGTACAGTTGTAAACTTTTGAAAGAACAACCTAATGTTTTGCTCAGAGATATGAACATTTCAGAGTTATGAACAACCTCCATTCTCTAGTTGTTTAACTCTGAGGTTCTACTGAATCAGAAGGACTGTAAGTTAGTTTCTGAACTAGATCTGTTTCCTCCTCCACCTTCTCCAAGTTTTTATACATTCTCATGTTCCCTCAGATGTGAGATTATGTACTAGGGCAGAGAACAAGACAGTTTTCCTCTGCAGCTCTTTGTCTCTGGGACATCCAAATTGTGTCTGTCTCAAAGCTCTGTATCATTATAATTTTCAAATGAAAATTTACTAGGCCAAATTAATGCCTGGTTTGATTGTTAAAGTCAGCAGAATTAAATCAGGCTTGAATTTGGCTTTTCTTACTCATGTAATTATGTCTGAAACAGCAAGCAGAGGGTGAGCAAAATTAACTTTGTAACTCTGTTTAATGCCAAAGAATTTTGGGAAATGTCTTGTATAAAATGTCCTACATAAAATGAAATTGTGGCCTCGTATATATTTTAAATTTTGAATAAAACTTTTCTTGGTGATAATGGTGAAAGTGTTTATTGAAAACTAACGTTAAAATATTTTTTTGCTGATGTTGGGAACGAATAGTGATCTCAACAGTTTGATTGTTTTTAATATGTTATGGTCTGACTCCATATTAAATTATGTTTTTCTATGTGGTAGGCTTTGCTGAACAACTCACATCTGTATCATTTGGCCCATGGAAAGGATTTTGCTAGTAGAGGAATTGAAAGTGAGTATGAAGTACACGTTAGCATTGTAAACATATTAGGGATGTAATCGACTAGTTGACTACCTGATAAGCAAATTCTTATCAGATTATTGAGTAGGAACTCAGCGAGTCGCTTCCCCCCCACTTGCTGCCTCTATCGGAGAGGGGAGCGCAAACTGGTGCTGCAGGGAGCCAGATTAAAAGCTGTTTTCCTTCCAGCACCATCTCCAGGGAAGGCAGAGGGCAGCAGGGAAACGACGCGAGTGAGGATTGAAACAACCCACTCGCACCTGTCCCAACTACTGCTCCTCTCCCTTTGAAATGTAGAAGAGCCACGCAGCAGGGATTGCTTTGGTCTTCACTGGTGTAGATTTCTGCTGTCTCTCTCCCGTTGAAATTGGCACATGGAGCCCGGAGTCAAAGGGGAACTCCCTGCTGGCCCAAGACTCCATGTGGCATTTCAATCTTTGTACGCCGCACGGTCCTTCTGCCTTTCTGGACGGTCTCTTGCTACATTTTAAAGCGGAAGTGCCCTTATTGACTAATTGTATAGTCGATGGAAATTCCAGCTCCTATTCGATTAGTTGATTAATTTTAGCATCCGTAAAACGTGTGGTTTTGCACAGTGCCTTTTAAATGTGCAAATCTTTGACCACTTCACCTGATTGAATAGATAGTAGGAAAGCCTACCAGGCTTACAAAATCAACTGGAATGTTAGAAATTTGTTTCTATTCCTTGAAATCAACTTCTTGGAAAGTTGCAAATTAAAATGATTCATTTTCTACTGCAACAAAATGGAATTGGTCTCCATCTATATTTGAAAAATATGAAGTTAATTTTTCTACTCTGATAGCTGAATGCTCTTTTTAACCCATTAATGAGGTCATTCAGCGCCTCTTACTGTGGCACAGAACTTTTTTTTTTTTTTTCAGATAACCTTTAAGTTGAGATATATAAAGATACTGAAATACAAGGGAAAAATAAAGATGTATAAAACATTATAGTTACAGGACTCCAGCTGAATTTAGAGAAGATGATGGAACAGAAAAGTGGTGCAGTAAAGTCTTTAACGAGTGGAATTGCCCATTTGTTTAAACAGAACAAGGTTAGTTTGGGCTGTGTGTCTCATACTGTTTTTCTGCATATGTTTTTTTCCTTTTCTAATGAATCTACTTTTTACCTCTGAGATTAATTAAAATGGTTAATAAATGATCAGCAATGATAGAATTTGACCACTTCACTTTTAGGAAGACTTGCTTATCTGCAATTCAGTATTTTTATATTTAGAACTGTTTTTTTCCTTTTCTTAAAAGGGTGTCACATTATTGTTCAGTTTGCAATCATAGAAGACTAGGGTTGGAAGAGACCTCAGGAGGTCATCCCGTCCAAACTGTTGCTCAAAGCAGGACCAACCCCAACTAAATGATTCTAGCCAGGGCTTTGTTAAGCCTGGCCTTAAAAACCTCTAAGGATGAGATGCTGCCATCTCACTAGGCAACCTATTCCAGGCTTCACCACCCTCCTAGTGAAATAGTTTTTCCTAATATCCAACCTAGATCTCCCATGCTGCAAATTGAGACCATTGCTTCCTGTTTTGTCATCTGCCACCACTGAGAATATCTTGGCTCTATCCTCTTTGAGAAATCCCCCTCCCCCTTTCAGGAAGTTTAAATGCTGCTGTCAAATCCCCACTTATTCTTTTCTTCTGCTTACAAAATAAGAACAGTTTCCTCAACCTGTCTTCAAAGGCATGTATCCCTGCTCCCTAATCATTTTCCGAGCCTTCTGCTGGATGTCTCCAATTTGTCTTTTCTGTAGTTGGGAGCCCAAACTGTATGCAATGCTCCAGATGTGGTCTCATCTGCAGTAATTCCCAGGTCCTTTTCTGCAGAACTGGGAACCAACTGGCTAAACAGCAGCCTATAGTAGTGCATGGGATTCTTGCATCCTAAGTGTAGGACTCTGCACTTGTTCTTGTTGAAGCTTTTCATATTTCTCTTGGCCCAGTCCTCCAATTTGTTTAGGCCTCTCTGGACCCTATCCCTACCCTCCAGCATATCTACCTTTCCCCCAGTTTAGTGTAATCAGTAATGAAGTGATAGATCAGTAGAGAATCCATTTGTCACTACAGATCTATTGAGATTAAAGTTATTTTGGTTGTAAAATATGTATGCAATCATTTAAATGGTGAAACTTTGTATTTATTCTATTCTCATTTGTAAAGGTCACACATGTGCCTGGGTTTGGAAAAATAACTGGGAAAAACCAAGTCACAGCAACCAAAGAGGATGGCAGCACTCAGGTTATCAATACAAAGAATATCCTCATAGCCACAGGTTCAGAAGTTGCTCCCTTCCCTGGAATTATGGTATGATTTTAATTAGTAACTTTAATGGTATTGTTTTTCATTATTGTGGTGTTACTGATTGTCATTTATTGAGTAACAGTTTTCTGCAACTTATTAGTTATTGCTGTGCGATATTTTTCCTCCCTAAGAAGGAAGCTTACACTAGTGTTCAGTATACTACATAATTTCAAACTGTCTAAAATAGCTTTTTCCTTTGTTAATTATTAGATTGATGAAGACACAATTGTATCATCAACTGGTGCATTATCCCTGAAACAAGTCCCTGAAAAGATGGTTGTCATTGGTGCAGGAGTCATTGGTGTGGAATTGGTAAGAGGCTTATTTATACAACTTATGCTTTCAGTAGATAAAGAAACAGGATATAACTATTTGTCACTGGATCTGGAGCTACGAATTTAAATCTGTATATTGTGTTAGTATTAGGACATAATATGGCTGGGGGGATTTTTAATGAGAGAGAGCACCAAGTCACTAGTTAGATCACCTTTCATTGGCAGTGAGAGAGACTACCAATCAGTTATTAATTCTGTCTAAAAAGCTGGATTGTAGTTGAGTTCTCAGTGGACGAGAGTCCATGTTTTTAAAACTACTGAGACTGGTTGGAAGTCTCAGCAGAGAGTTGAGGAACTGAATGAGTATAAAGGGTGAAATATATTCTTGCCTCTCAAGCTCTCCCAGTTCAGTGCTCTGAGGTAGTTTGCACTACAGTTTCTCCTTCTGAATCTGCTCTCTACAGTGAGAGAACTTCATGCTAAAGAGCTGTCAATTAAGCACACTTGCCACATTTAACATCAGGAAATCTTGTTGATAGGATGTTATGTTTATTGTAGCTAATAATCAATGGAGTAACATTTTGGGACTGAAAGAGGCTAATCAGCACTTTTAGGTCTGTCTCCTTCTCTTTTCTCACCCTGTATCCTGCCCATTCCTATATAGATCTAATATTTAAAAAATATATTGATCTTACAAAATTTATTGAAAATTTGGTCAGAGCATACCCACTAAAGCCCAGCACTAAATGTACTCATCAGCCCTGTATCTTGATTTTAATGGGGGAAAAACTTCAATATTTTACTTTATCCGTGAAGTGCATGTGCTTGAGGGAAAGACTTGCATAAGAGATGTAGTATTTTCACAGAGGGGTGATAATGTTTATCTGCTTTTTAGGGCAGTGCTTTTGACAGCGAGTGCTTTAGTTTCACTTAAGCAGAATCTGACATTGTTTTGACTTTGCTCCAGTGGTACTGGAACACTATAGATTTTGTTGCATTTAGGTTTTTTGGTTACATTCTGATTTCTGGATTCTGAACGTTTTTATACCCAAGATCTAATTATTTTAATAGGTATCTACTTACAGCATTTAGTTCTATTGCCAAGGCAACTAGTAAGCTAAGTAATGTACTCAGCTAATCTACATGGAAGCCAGCTTATATTATTGTGTATCTTCCCTTCACTGTTCCTGTGCCTCGACTTTTGCCTTTTTGTTTCATTAGCTGTTTGCATTGTATTGATGTGGACAGATCTCTGGGATAAGGCCTGACTTTTTAATTCTAAATTTGTACACCTAGCACAACAAGCTCACAGGCCCTAGTACAAATAAACAATCTAATACAGGGGTGGCCAACCCATTCTGGGCAAAGAGCCAAGATAGCAGTGGATCCAGCGCCAAAGAGCCAGGGCAAAGTTGTCGAGCAAAAAAAACCAAACACTCTGCCCCTTTAAGAGATCACATTTAAACGATTTAAATGCATTTAGAAGCTTTTTGGCCCCATTAGGCTCCCACCAGCCAACACCATCTTTAATTCTACATCTTTCATGGCCGCGCCGGATGGCTCTCCTGCACAGGGAGCCAGGAGGAGAGGGCCGTTTTTGGAGGAGCGGGGGCAGGAGCTATTTCAAAATAGTAGCAGTCGAGCGTCTACACGACTGCTGTTTCGAAATAGCCATTTCAAAATAGGCGTTATTCTTCACGGAATGACGGTGTATAACTCTAGGAATACGTATATACGTGTGCACATATGTTTATCACCATTGTAGTGGCCTGATGAGGGCCCTGTTACAGTATGCATTGCCCCTATTATGAAGATTCTAAACAGTAATTATTCAAATATGGAGGACTGCAGTTTCTTTTTCAAAGTTTTGTTTTTTGTAACAAAATAATGATTTATTGTATTGACTGCAGGGTTCAGTTTGGCAGCGTCTTGGTGCAGATGTAACAGCTGTTGAATTCTTAAGCCATGTTGGTGGAATGGGTATTGATATGGAGATCTCCAAAAACTTTCAGCGCATCCTTCAGAAACAAGGACTCAAATTTAAATTAAATACCAAGGTTACTGGTGCCACCAAGAGGCCAGATGGAAAAATTGACGTTTCGTAAGTGCTTAACACATGATATATGGGAATCATAGATATATACTTCCCTACCAGAAATCGAACTAAAAATACAGCTTTAGATTTATCATAGAATCATAGGACTGGAAGGGACCTTGAGAGGTCATAGAGTACAGCCCCCCGCCCTCAAGGCAGGACCAAGCTCTGTCTACACCATCCCTGACAGATATCTATCTAACCTGTTCTTAAATATCTCCAGAGAGGGAGATTCCCCCACCTCCCTTGGCAATTTATTCCAATATTTGACCACCCTGACAGTTAGGAATTTTTTCCTAATGTCCAATCTAAACCTCCCTTGCTGCACTTCAAGCCCATTACTCCTTGTCCTGTCCTCAGAAAGCGAGGAACAAATTTTCTCCTTCCTCCTTGTGACACCCTTTTAGATATTTGAAAACCGCTATCATGTCCCCCCCTTAATCTTCCTTTTTCCAAACTAAACAAGCCCAGTTCATGAAGCCTGGCTTCATAGGTCATGTTCTCTAGACCTTTAATCATTCTTGTCGCTCTTCTCTGTACCCTTTCCAATTTCTCCACATCTTTCTTGAAATGTGGCGCCCAGAACTGGACACAGTACTCCAGCTGAGGCCTATCTAGTGCAGAGTAGAGCGGCAGAATGACTTCACGAGTTTTGCTTACAACACACCTGTTGATACAACGTAGAATCATATTTGCTTTTTTTGCAGCAGCATCACACTGTTGACTCATATTCAACTTGTGGTCCACTATGACCCCTAGATCCCTTTCCGCCATGCTCCTTCCTAGACAGTCGCTTCCCCTCTTGTATGTATGGAACTGATTGTTCCTTCCTAAGTGAAGCACTTTGCATTTCTCTTTATTAAACTTCATCCTGTTTACCTCTGACCATTTCTCTAACTTGCTAAGGTCATTTTGACTTATGTCCCTATCCTCCAAAGAAGTTGCAACCCCACCCAGTTTGCAAACTTAATAAGCGTACTGTCTATCCGAATATCTACATCATTGATGAAGATATTGAACAGTACGGGTCCCAAAACAGACGCTTGCGGAACCTCCACTTGTTATCCCTTTCCAGCAGGATTTAGCACCGTTAACAACAACTCTCTGACTACGGTTATCCAGCCAATTATGCACCCACCTTATCGTGGCCCTATCTAAGTTATATTTGCCTAGTTTATCAATAAGAATAAGAATTTGGGGTATAATTTACTGTATAAATAAAACTATAAACAATGACAATGTGATGTGAGTACAAACATGAACTAAATTAAAAGCTAAGGTTAAACTATACTCAATCTTACTCAGTTGTTGCAGTTCCGTACATAGGGATAAAACTTGCATAGCTTTTTTTCAAACTCCCAATATCTTACGTAATGCCAAGAGGAGTGAATGACGGATGCCATTTCAGTTCCAACTTTAATACCTTACAGTTTTGAAATTTAAATTTAAGGTTGTAAAATTTCAATTCTTTGGCTAATTGAATAGTCGATGCAGTTTGTATTGATTATTCGATTAGTCAATAAGGGTGCTTTTTTTGGATGGGGAACCTATACAGGAAGGATGGGTTCCCTGCCATCTGCAACCCTGGGCTATCTACACAGAATCATCTTGCAATAGAATGATTTCAAGCATTTCCACAATGCTGTTTAACTTTAGAGGTACAGGTCAAACCTCTAAAATCCAGGACTCTCTGGTCTGTGCCAGACCATGGATATTACTGGACCAGGGAGCCCCGGCTGGCCAGGTTCAGAAATGCAGCCTTGGCTGGGCTGGCGGTGGGGAACACAGCCCCAGTGGGGCAGCATGGTGGGAAGCACAGCCCTGGCCAGGGCTGATGGCTAGGAGTGCAGCCCCAACTAGGGCTGGAGGCAACGGGGTCAGCAGCCAGGAGCGCAGTCCTGGGAAGAGCTGGCAAGGTGGGGAGCACAGGCCTGGTTGGGGGTGATGCTGTGCACCCCTGATTAGGGCTGGCGGCGGCAGGACTGGCAGCCAGGAGCGTAATCCTGGCCAGGGCTGGAGTCAACGGGTCCAGCACCTGGGTGCACAGCCCGGGTTAGCACTGTGGGAGGCATAGCCAAGGTTGGAGGCAGCAGGGCACCCCTGTCTGGAGCTGGTGTAGTGATCGGGGAGGGCTAGATGCAGCATGGCAGGCAGTCCGGAGTGCAGTCCCAGCCGGGAGCAGAACCCTATACCCAGGTAGGGAGCCTTGACCTCCCCTTGACCAGCAAATTCTGTGGTTTGGGATCACTCAGGTCTCGGGTTCTGGACAAAGGATCTGTACAAATGCTGTGGCTACTGTTTTAGTATTTGTAATATAAAACCAGAGGATGCAAGATAAAATATTGAGTAATTGGGGATACATTTTATGAATCTTATAATTTTGCTTTATAGTAGGAACTGAACTTCAACTGCTAGTACTGTTTTTATATTCTTAAGCATACTATAGCTTGAAATAGTTTCTTACATTTTAATGAGACCTTTCAGTGCCTATTCCTCTTAATGACAATCTCTTTAACAAGGTTGAAGGGAGGGATAGCTCAGTGATTTGAGCATTGGTCTGCTAAACCCAGGGTTGTGAGTTCAATCCTTGCGGAGGCCATTTAGGGATTGGGGCAAAAATTCATCAGGGATGGTACTTGGTCCTGCTGAGAAGGCAGGGGACTGGACTCGATGACCTTTCAAGGTCCCTTCCAGTTCTAGGAGATAGTCAATCTCCATTATTTAATTAAATTATTTAGATTTATTAGTCAAAGAAGTTGCCAGGTCTCAATTATATTTAACATCTTCATATTTTTATTGTACGTAGCATCTCTTCACAGCTACTTTTTTTTCTGTCCTTTCTTCAGTATTGAAGCAGCTGCTGGTGGGAAGTCAGAAGTGATCACCTGTGATGTGTTACTTGTTTGCATTGGTCGACGTCCTTTTACTCAGAACCTTGGTTTGGAAGATGTTGGAATTGAGCTTGATAACAAGGGTAGAATACCAATCAACACCAGATTCCAAACCAAAATTCCAAAGTAAGCAAGATGTTTAAAACAGTTTTTAGTAGCTTTCAGTTAGTCACATTTACTTCATATATTCTACAAAGATAACAGGATTTTGATTTAGAATGCAATATCTTTAAAAAAGGTGGAAAGAGAAATTTATTAACCTATAAAATATATTTCATTTGTAATAGTAACTGAACATAGTTTAACTTTTTTAAGGAAAGGAAAATTCAATGGCAGGGTGTTTTGATAGCATGAAAGAGGCAGAGAATAGTGTATAGGATGAGGTCTCTAGTTTCCTCTTGGGTTAAATCAGCTCAGACATGGCAAGTAAGCACTTCATACATTACAGGCTGCCCCCGACTTGTGACGTGATCTGTTTCGGAGATAGTGTTGCAAGTCGGGGACGTCGTAAATTCAGGGCCGAGGACATAAGTCAGGGGATTTTGACCCCTTCTGCACTTACAGAAAAGGTTGTAAGTGTGAGGGGTCGTAAATTGGGCCGTCGCAAAGCGGGGGCCTCCTGTACAGTAAAGTTTATAAAGCTATTTGCAAAAATACAAGTAGCGCTAACCTGTAGAAAATAGCTACTAATCTTAGATTGGAGGGCTAATCTAGCAAATTGAGTATAGAAACAATACACAATGGGTAATTACTTTAATATATTTTTGTTAGACTTTCTGTTTACAAACTTATTTAAACTAATATGTCTGTCATATAATAATGTAGCTGAAATTCTCTATATGTTCTTTTTAAACAGCAGTGTTTTGTTTCATTTGTCTCATAGCATTTATGCTATAGGTGATGTAGTTGCTGGGCCAATGCTGGCTCACAAAGCTGAGGATGAAGGCATTCTCTGTGTTGAGGGAATAGCTGGAGGTGCAGTTCACATTGACTATAACTGTGTGCCCTCAGTAATTTACACTCATCCTGAAGTTGCCTGGATTGGCAAATCAGAGGAACAATTAAAAGAGGAGGTACTGTTTTCTCTCTGGGTTACTTTACTTTAGGGTCTTGGATGTGTTAATGTAGACTTTTATGAGTTGTGGCTGAATCACCATAGATGTGTCCCCCCTCTCCCCCCCAAAAAAAATCACGTACTCCATCAATACTCTGATATAAAAAGGCAGGTATCTTGGCATCAAATGGGGTTGAATCAATGTGAAAGTTCATACATTAGCATTGTTATTGAATAGTGTTAATTGATGATCTTCATCTTTCCCTGTTGCCAACAGTGTGTAAAGCAGGTGCTTTGTTCAGGCCTGTAAATGTAGATAGTGTACTGTCTAGCTGGGAATACCTGATTGTTGGGAGGTTTTGGGGTGGGCTGATTGGTTTATTTTTTGATAAATTGAGGTCTGTAATATATTCCTTTGTAGTAAGAAAATATTTTATTTGAAATCACTCTGAACTGGTCTCTTGTCAGAGGTAATTTAAATAGTTCACATCCAAAGTAAGATAGAGCAGTTACATTTTTATACAGTTCATGCTGATGAACTACTCTTCCATAGTCATATTTTATCTAATACTGGTAACAGGTGTTAAATATTTGAGAGTTTTATGGATGGAGAGCAATATAAAAAGTAAAATATAATGATAGTTGGGTGGGAGCGAGCCAAGGGTTTACATTAGTCAAATAGGCCATCTAAGCTACAGTGAAAAATCAAGTGAATTTTAGAATGTGTACAAATATATTTTTTGCTGAGTATATAAGACTGTAAGCACCTTCTTGCACAATTACACCTTCACCCATTCTTGCAATACACTGTGTAAATTGTCAGTGACCTATATCTATTTTTGTAGGGGACAGAATACAAAATTGGAAAGTTTCCATTTGCTGCTAACAGCCGAGCTAAAACTAATGCTGACACAGATGGCTTGGTGAAGATACTTAGTCAGAAATCAACAGACAGGATGCTGGGTGCTCACATTCTAGGCGCAGTAAGTATTGTAAAAGATGGGTACTTCTTTTTCTGTTTCTCAGCTCCAGTGGTGATCTACTATATATTTGAGAGCATTTGTGTGCGTGTGTGCGTTCGTTCGTTTGTTTGTTCGTTCAAGAACTCCTCCTAAGCAGTAAGAGCGTAAGGATTGGGATGTGGCTGGAATGGGATTGTTTCTCATAAAATAATACAAAAAAGAGAGAGAATCATCAGGCAGGTGAAAGGGACTGCCTGGAGGTGACCTTTCCTCCCCACAGCTCCCAACCCTGTCCAAGACTGCCCCAGTTTTGAGCCTTCTACCCCCCCAGGCAGCTTTTTAGAGAGGGTGCAGGGGATTAAACTCTTCTCCCTCTCCCCCTTCCGATTTGTATCGGAACATTGCTGGCTGTTATCCTTCATCAGGGAACGAGAGGACAGTGCACAGTTTGCTACATTCCTCACTCTGGCCGAGGAGCACAGGGGGGTGACCAACCTGGATCTGGATATGCATGCCTTCCCCCTGACTGTGCCTGCTGGAGTGTTCCTTCAAAAAAAATACAGGGCAAGCTTTGAGTCTCTTTGTGTCACTATATTTAGCATTTATTTTACACACTTTATTAACTCTGAATTGAATCTTACAATTTTCTGGCCAAGGCAGGCTGTGGATGCCACTCCTTTTTGAGTTAATCAGGTACTCTACATGGGTCTCCAGAAGGGGGCTGCACAGAACAATGTGAAGTGTTGATTTCATGCAGTGGAAACTGAGCTAGCGTCTCAAACAATCAAGAATAGCATGGGCAGAATGACATTTTATTTTGCCTTACTGGCAATTTGTGTATAATTGGGGTGTTGTTCACACTGCCACCAATATAGAAAATGAGATTTTGGTTTAGTATGCTTGCATTCTGTCATTTTTTGCTTTGGTGTAAATTATTACAGCAGTCCAATGTGATCAATGTATACAACAGTGCAATTGTTTTGTATTTTTTATCCTTTTTCTTTCACAACTATACTGTGTGGCTACGTCTAGACTGGCATGATTTTCCGGAAATGCTTTTAACAGAAAAGTTTTCCGTTAAAAGCATTTTTGGAAAAGCATGTCTAGATTGGCAAGACGCTTTTCCGCAAAAGCACTTTTTGCGGAAAAGCGTCCATGGCCAATCTAGACGCAAAAAAGCCCCGATCACCATTTTCGCGATCGGGGCTTTTTTGTGGAAAACAAATCTCTGCTGTCTACACTGGCCCTTTTGCGCAAAAGTTTTTCGGAAAAAGACTTTTTCCTGAACGGAAGCAGCATAATATTTCCGGAAAAACACTGACAATCTTACATGAGATCGTCAGTGCTTTTGCGGAAATTCAAGCGGCCAGTGTAGACAGCTGGCAAGTTTTTTCCGGAAAAGCGGCTGATTTTCCGGAAAAACTGGCCAGTCTAGACACAGCCCTTATGTGTGACCTGTGGGTAGAGGCGTTGACTAAATTAACCAGATGCTAATACTTAGCACTGCTGAATGTGATTAGTTTTTTAGCAGAAGAGAACACTTATGACAAGCTGACTGTATTGTAGCTAACTAGTAAGCTAGCATGCTCATTGTTTGCATGTCTTTGCAGTTGTACAATTTGCAGTAAATATATGTTACATGCAGGGTGCTGGAGAGATGATTAATGAAGCTGCTCTTGCTATGGAATATGGAGCATCATGTGAAGATGTAGCCAGAGTTTGCCATGCCCATCCAGTAAGTTGGCATTAAGTAATCTATCATTCTGTAACTTTTTTCCTCAGTGTTTGGCATAAAACATACATAGTTACATAGGCATTAAATACTTGTCCCCTTATTCTCTTCTAATGACTTCTACCTTTGTTTTTGCTTCCTATAGACGGTGTCAGAAGCCTTCAGGGAAGCAAACCTCGCAGCCTCTTTTGGCAAAGCTATCAACTTCTAAAATGCAAGCACAATCATTTGTATACATATAGTACATTTCTTCTGAAAATGGACTGTTGGCTTTTGCAGAAGACTGGGTCTTTGAGTATTTCAGAACCCGAATTAAGTTAATTTGCTTTGTTTAAATATCAAATGTTTAAACATACAGGTTTTGGAACAAATGGAATTATCCTGTTGCTGTATATTAATACACTTAGAAACTGTGTGCATCATGGGTGTTTCAGAAAACAAGCTTAAAAGAGAGAACAATTTTTTTATAAAAATGAACATTTCACTGCTGCACAGCGTAATCAAGAACACTGGCCAACACACATGGCTAATATTGCCCTGCATAGCTGGTATGTTATCATTTGGAATACTAATATTCCAGTGGAATGCTGGCACTTAAAAATGCCATTGTCCTCTCTGAACAAAGTTGTTGTGGCATTCTTTAGTAAAAGGTTTCATTTTTTTTTTTCTGAAATGCAGAAACCATAGCTTTTGGTTACTTGGATCCTAGTAGAGTAGGGATTACTTGGATGAGGCCATTTACTGTAGGTGAACTGAAGATTTTTCTTTGTAGAAAGATAGTCTGGCAGTGTCAGTACCTTTCATTTCCATGCATATTGTTTTCATATTGAAAACACATCTGTAAAATTTTGCTTTCACTTGCAAAAAAAATCAAGCATTAATGGAGAAATGAAAATTCAATGGAGGAAAATTAATTGAATATTATTGTCACATAATCCTATCCATCTTCTCATTTCTAATGAATTTCCATTGTCCAGAGACTGTTAAAATTCTCTTGAAATGCTTTAAAAATTAAGCAGCATTAGTTCTATGTGCAACAGCACCTTGAACAACGATGGTTAGGCACTTCTCTGCTCTTTCCAAACATACTGATGTAGTGTGTGTGTCAGTTCCCCAGCAGATTCTAGGGTGCTTTCTTCCCTCCTCCTCTTCTGTCTCCTCTTCATTTCTTTGTCTGGTCTCTCATCTATTACTTTAGAATCTGTTTTCCTGCAGCGGGAATGTTTCATACTTGAAAGGGCTCCAGTCTTTCATGAGTAAATGCTTTGGCTGGGGAATTCAAGCTTTTTGTAGGTGACTTTAGAGAGTTTGATACAGAAGGGTTAGTTTCCTGTATTAAGTTCTTGAGTTCCTCTGTGCAGCTAACTCCATGCACTCCTTATCGTGGTTCCCTTAGCTCATCTGCATTAAGGATTTTCTGAAATTCTCCAACCATTGCTTTAGCACAGGCTCAGCTTCATTGGTGCAAGTGCAGACTGGCTTCTGGTGTTTTTCCCACCATGTCATTGGAACTGGTCTAAAACTGCACTATTGGAGAAATAACGGGAGAATTTCTGGAGACCTATATAATGCATGTCTGAAACTGGCCAAGTTCTTATGTCTGGGGGGCAGAAACTTGCTGGGTATGAAGGAATGAAATGCATAAATGGATAAGACTGTGGACTGCTCGAATTTGCACAGTGATTTTGCATGAGAGAAATACTGTACAAGTGTAGCTTGTTTTCCTTGTGGGCTTCCTTTCTTCCTTTATTTGACTCTTATTTATTTTGTCCTGATCCCCAAAGCCTAATTTTTATAGGTCTTGGTGTCAGATACACTCATTGCTTCTAAATCTTAATGGGAGGGAAACATACTTAGGTTGGTGTGTTTTTTTTTTTTAAATTTGCACTAGAGCCACTCAACTTTGTGTTTGCATGGGACTTTTGGTAGGTGTATTCTCTTGCTGTTTTTATAGCAGTTGATCTCTGTAGTGATCTGTTATGTATGTTGAATAATGGAAATATGATCAGCAGTTGGTTAATCAGTATTTTTAGAAAACTGTAAACAGTGGTAAAACTCTGGAATTAATACGCTTTTCTGTCTCTTCTTGACTGTCTTCAGTATGTGCAGAAGTGGATTGAGGCCAGGGCCCTTTTGAGCCTGTCTCTTCAGAGCTGGCTGAAAGGACCCATGAGTTGGTGAGAGAGCCAGAATCTACGTGGGTTTACGTGGAAGTGATAGCAAGAACTCTGAGTGAAGCGAAGATGAAGTGTGTTTGTGAAACTGGGGGAGGAAGATCTGGGACATGTGGAATTGGGGGGAGGGGGGGGGTCCTCCACGGGGAAGCCTTATATTATGATGGATCCATGATGCATTTACTTTTGATCCACCTCTGCCTTTTGGATAAATGTTTTTTGAAAGCTTTCTATATGTCCCTTCTGCACAATGCCTGCTCTCTACTATGAAGCTCACCAAAACAATGGGAAATTTTCACAAAATCTTGGGGAAAACTCACGCTGCTTTCCCCCCTTTTTTGAAGGGCTCTCTACCTGTTTGAACACTAAGGTGAATTTTTACACACATTTCATCTTGTTTTTCTCAAAACAGAAAACCTAGGAAATGGACTCTCAACTACTTACTAATAGTTGGGAGATCTGGTTCTCCCTAATCTCTCTAAATAAATAAAATTCAAGCCCTTACATCCTGTTGATGTATTTTTTCTTTTCTCAGCTTACCATTCTACACCAACTACTCATACAGAGGAATAGTTGTAAAGGGTAAAGAAGTGAAATGAGGGTACTAAGAACCACAGAGGGACAAGTTTGGAGCATAAAGTCCAATATCCAAAACTATTCTAACAAATGCCTGCTGTTGGCAAGAAATTAAACACAATGCGAGAACTTGGTAGATTATACTGCTATATGTAAGTATCCAATTTAAATGGGAATAGAAGTTGAGGTAAAACTACTTTAGCTGAACTAATTTTTCTTGCCAAACTTAATTTGTTTCAGTGCTATACAGTGGAGATCTTGAATTAAACAGATTTTCACTAATAGCTAAAATATGAGTGAAGCACAGTTATGTCTTGCATGTATTACATATAATGACACATTTTGGAAAGTCTTAATCATTAAACATAGGAGATAGTGTCTGTACAGCCATGTACTTGATGATTTTTCAAATATGTAACTGTTTTAAACAAACTTTTGAAAACCAAAATGAAGACTAGGGAAAAAGTGGCAGCACGTTAACAGACTCCCTGAACTTATGTTTGCAGTGTTATAGGGAGCTGTGTGGGTTCCAGGATATGAAAGTGGAAGAGCTCTTTGTAAAATGTTCTCTATCTAGGAGAAGACGGTTCAGTAAAAGATTCCTTAAACTCCTGTTGCAGTCAAAGATGCAGAATTTTGCCTATATAACTGGCTAACGTGGTTGAAGACCTCATTGCTGTAGCACACGTTCTGCAATTTTCAATTGGCTAAAGCAGGATTTTCCTGTACTGTATATATTTCTAACACTCATCTCTCTCTCTCTCTCTCTCTCCCTATACAATGCAGTTACCACTGTTTGTGTACATTTAGGCTGCGTCTGCACTGGCAAGATTTTGCACAAATACTTTTAATGCAAAAACATTTGCGCAAGAGAGCGTCTACACTGGCATGTGCTTTTGTGCAAGAGATGTGCTTTTGTGCAAAAGCATCCATGCCAGTGTAGACACACTCTTGCGCAAGAAAGCTCCGATGGCCATTTTAGCCATCGGGTTTTCTTGCGCAAGAAATTCACGTTGCCTGTCTACACTGGCCTCTTGCGCAAGAACAGTTGCACAAGAGGGCTTATCCCTGAGCGGGAGTGTCAAGAGTATTTGCGCAAGAAGCACTGATTTTATACATTAGAACATCAGTGTTCTTGCGCAAGTACTCCCGGCCAGTGTAGACGGGTGGCAAGATTTTGCGCAAATTTAAACACAGCCTTAATCTTTAGGCATTTCAGACTCTGCCCTTTCTTGTCTGGAAAACCAAGATATGATATAACTAGGTCTCTATACAAAGTCAAATTACAAAACAAATGCATCATCCTTTAAATTTGTTAGTCCTGTAAATTCATGCATATCTGCTTCTTATTGTGGATATCCACAAATCATTTTGGCGGATATTGATGTGGCTGCAGATACTATAAAAAGGGCTCTATCACCCTATGCTGCCTCTACTGATTTTTAGTACATCTGTGATGTAACACCCGTAACCACAGGCCCTGTGCTGCCCTTTAGCCTCATCAGGCTCTGCCCTCTAACACTTCTTTGCTGCAAAACCCCTCCCCTCCCCTCATCTCTGCCTGTGCCCCAGTTGCTAGCCCATAGGGCCTGAAGTGATGGGGCCAGCCATGCACCCCTGCAGGGGCAGATTAGTGACCAGAGTCTCTTGAAAAATAGGTGCCCTTGCCTGTCTGCCAGGCACTTTTCCCTGTGGAGGAGTGTGGTGTGGGTGCATGAGATTGTACTATCCTGCCCTTACTGAGGAATGGGATTGGGGTACATGCATTTGTGCCTCTTCCCAGTAGAAATGTCTGGTGGGACAGAGTGGGATAAGCCACCTATGCCCTGACCATGCTTCTTGGCAGGTGAGGGATGTTGTGGTGCACACCCCATAAACCCAGGGTTGGGCAAGATGTGGCCCTGGGGCCAGATCGGACCCACATACTATCCTGCCCTTACTGAGGAATGGGATTGGGGTACATGCATTTGTGCCTCTTCCCAGTAGAAATGTCTGGTGGGACAGAGTGGGATAAGCCACCTATGCCCTGACCATGCTTCTTGGCAGGTGAGGGATGTTGTGGTGCACACCCCATAAACCCAGGGTTGGGCAAGATGTGGCCCTGGGGCCAGATCGGACCCACAGGCTGCAGCTGGCTGCTTTCTATTTATATCCTGCTGCCTGTGCCACCAAATTTCCAGGCAGTGGCTCAGGTAGCAAGATCCTATTTAAATGGCTCAGGCAGGGGCTGGAACTGTGAATCCTTTAGTGACAGCAACCCTGGGCGGCTGCCAAGCAACGTGGTAGTAATGGAGCCTGGAATCACAAGTCCTTTGCAGTGTTTTTAACTCAAAGCCTCCAGCTTCAGACAGCTTTGCGGTTTCCTTAGTTGTGGCACCTGCAAGGGCAAAATGCATTAGCAAAAGCAGTTTGAGAGCAGAAGTAGACTCTTGGCCCTTATGGTGATAGGATAGTAGGTACCTTTAATGTTGCTTACTGTTAAGTGAGTGCACAGCAGAAAGATACATATGGAAAAGTATGAGTTATGACTAGGGCTCGACAATTTAGGTAAGCTTAGGCAAGTAGATTATAGCCCAGCTTGGCACCGCAGTGTGGTCAGTGCATGCGCAGCGTGCTGAACTGCGGGGCTAGCGAGTGGGGCTCGCCGTGGCTTGGTGAGCCCTGGTTATGACTGTGATGAAGCAACCTTGTACTATGTCCACTACTTCACTGCCACACGATCATGCATTTTACACACTTCACTTTGCATGCTGCACTCTGCACCCTAATGCTTTTACCATGAAATGGGGAGCCCTGGCCTGCACCAGGCACCCTATTTGTTCAGATACACTAATACCATGAGGCAAAAGGTCAGCTTTTTTAATGTATGGTCAGTTCATCAGGACAAATTGAAATCCCTGCTGTACTTCCTTGTCAGTTGCCACCAGAAAACTTTGTAACTTCTGTATGTATTTGAAAAGCTAGGTCAATGGAGAATGAAAAGGAACTTGAAAAGAAATTTAAGTACTGACACATATAGTTTGAAGGAAAGTGAGAAAGGTAAATCAATTTGGGATACATGCAAATTTCTTATTGGTGAAAAGGGTGATACTATTGCTGGATATGCTGCATGTATCAAATGCAAACAAAAGTGTATTTAAGTAGTCATAAAACTAGGATTTCAAACTTAAACATAAATGTATACTAGATATTCACCCATGAAATGTCATCACACAAGACAGCTGTGATTCATGAATTATTAAAGGCATAAGACTTTGAGGTAATCTATAGTGAGGGATTCCTTGTATATTCTCATTGCTTGATTAACATAGGTGCCAATGCCAGATTAGCTCAGAAGAGGTAGCTGTGTTAGTCTGTTTCAACAAAAAAAAAACCAAGGAGCTCAGTAGCTCTTTAAAGATTGACATATTAGACCATAAGTTTTCATGAGCTACAACACACTTCATCAGCTGCTGAAGAAGGGGAAAAAGGATACAGAGAAGACACAGTGGAATCAGCTAACTACTTCAGAGTGGATGTGGCTTTTCTTCGACAGTGATGAGGTGAGAATACCTAATTGGAAAAGTACCTATTGTAATGTGAGAACCATTCGATGTGTCTATTTAAACCTTGGTTTAGGTTGTCAAATTTACATGTGAATTTCAGCTTAACAGTTTCCTGTTGTAGTCTTGAACAAATCAGCTCTTCTTTAGGTACTCAGATTTGATACACAGCATTACCAACCAGATAGTGTTAGTTACTGACTGGGGAGTGAACATGGTTGCAGCCCTCAAGTTCTACCAAACCAGGAGGAAGAAGCAGTAACTGAACTGATCAATGTATGCCAAAATGTGGTTACATACGTAGGAGACCTGGACTTCAGAGCAGACCACAAAAGTCTCTGAAAGATATGGCAACACAATGGAACAGCAAACTACTCAAATTGAAGAGCAGAGGAACAGAATATGACATTGACAGAAAAGGGGGGGGGATTACTTAGCTCACTGATAAGCATTGACCACAAGACCTTGAGCATATTAATGGAGTTCCTGCAGCCCTTCAAGAAAGAATCAGATTATCTGGAACAGTCATCACAACTCACTCTCCACTTACTGATACAAAAAACTGAAAAAGGCATCTCCCGCCTTCTGCCATTGATGGATACAAAGTCAACTCAAATCCTAAGCCTTGCAATAGCTCATGGAAAAGTTTGAAATCAAGTCTATACATAGAATAGGACTTTTCTTATATCCACAAATGGAGATTAAAGTTTTCACTGAAGAGAGATTAACTCAGAAGACACATGAGCTAGTCTCATTGCAAGAGAAAAATAACCCTAACCCTGCACAGATCCCCTCATCATCACCAAAGGACACAAAATGGATTCAGATGGTGAATGTGTTATGGACAGTGTTGAAGTGTCAAAGAATATCACTCTGAAGCCAACGATGATATGTGAATGGTAGAGACAACACAAGCACAATTTTCCCCTTCGCTCAAGTTGCATGGTTTGTGCATTTCATCCCTGCATCCAGTACACCCTGGGAGAGAGCCTTTTCAGTCTCTGGTCATTTAAACCAGAAACTAAAGAAAATCAGCTGTCCAACACCTGAGTTCTGCAACCCCTGAACTGGTTGTTTGCTCCCCTCTTTAGTAGGGAAACTGCCCTGAAGTCACATGGAACTTATTGCTCCTGGTTCCCTCATGTAACCCTCCCAACGAGAATTTGTGAAGCAAGAAATGCCTAGCTGTGGGAGGGGGGCTTGCCTTAGTCAGGGAAGCCTTGTCAAAAATTAAGTATCAACTGACCAAATGACCTTCTTCACCACTTTTGTGTATCCACATCCTACCTTGGCTGCATGTGGTTTCTCAGTGCCTTACTCCTCCAGTGGCTGTGTGTATGTCCTATGATTTAATAAAACTATGTACTCCATGTTATACAATAAAGA